ATAGACGACGGGATACGCGACATAATAACACGTACCGCGTGGAGTTACAAACTTACAACATACAACAAACAAACATACATGTGAAACTAATATAAGCGTGTTAAAAAAACACATCATTGTAAAACTATTACCTTCTCAGATTCGCACGAAGCTAAAAGATATAATATTAATAAATCTTCTAATTCCAAGCAATTTTTATCCAGTGCTTTTCATTCAATGTTTTTTTATGCATAAATGAGTTTTAGAAAAAAAAATTTTTTTTTATGTCTATTGACAACCTATTAAAAATGAAAAACTACACTTAACTTAAAGTGGATGTATACATTCTTTTTTCATGGATTTAATTAAATTTATATGTATTTTGAAAAAATTTGAATTTATATAAAACTGCTTAAATATGAGATTGACATTGATAAAAATTTATTTAGTATTGGCAATCAAGTGATGGTATTATGATCTTTAGTTAATTAATTCTAATTAAAAAGGATAAGACGATTACTTAATTATAAAATTTAATATTTTATACTTTTGATATTTGTTTAAAAGAAAAACGTATAAACTAAGTTTCATTTGTTCAGTGTAATTTTTAATTCAGGTTTATATTTTCTTTTGATTATAGGAGAAGATATATTAAGTAAGTATAATCTAAATAATTATTCCTTTTAAAGATATATAGAATTTATAAGTATTTTCTTATTTAATATTTTATAGAATGTGTTTCTTGTAAAACTACAACAGGATTAGAGCATGTTTATCCGTGTGATCACTTTTATTGTAGCGCCTGTAGAAGTGCGACTTGGAACTGTTCGACTTGTAAACGAGCTGTCATATTTAGTAATATTATTCATAATATTAAATATGAGAACTAAATTCACCAACAACATTTATAATTTATTTTGTAAATTTAAATCTAACAATATGCTTTAATACTTTTTTAATAGCTTTAAGAATAACACACTTGATCTATCGCATATATTTAGTGTAGTTTATTGTGTTTCTTATGTGTTATTATAACAATGGATATCGCCATTATAATCCTTGAAGGAGGATTCATGGACGTTATACACTGTAATATATTTCAAATTATCATGTAACTGTTTAGTTAAAAGGTACTTTTCTTTTTTTTTAAACTCATTCTTTCTATAGAATTTCTATAGATTCTTTTGAAATATTGTCTAACATTGAAAAATAATATAAAGAATCAACAATAATATTCTCCGTGACTGAATGTAGAGTGAGCTTAATTTTCACAAACTATTCGTAGTAATAATATTAATCATATTTTATTTATCAAACATACAATCTAATAAACTATACTATATAATCGCAAGCTACACATCTAAATAATAGATTTAATGACATACATAATGTATAGTTCAATGTTTGATCATTAATTTTACTTTCTTCTAAAATTAAAAAGCTTACTAGTAAAGATAAAAATGTTAGTATTTTAGTGGTTCATAATAATAAATATTCAGTGTAACTTAAATTCAAGTTTATATTTTATTTTGATATAGGAAACAAATTAAGTAAGTATAAATTAAATAATTATAACCTATAATAATACATAAAATTAATCGGTATTGTCTTATATTTAAGTAACTAAAACACAAAGTTAAAAATTATTTTTCAAAAATTAAAAAAGTTATAATTTAATAAACTTTTTAACTATCAAAACATTGTTATTATACCATAAATAATAATAAATTTACTATTTAAAGAGTGTATAATATGTAGTCTGGAGTCCAATCTAGTCTTGAAGTCCAGTAATGTATTTTGTCAGAATTGTAAAAACATAGGTAAAACACATTATATATGGTATTTAGTAAGTAAGGAAGTGTGTTTTTATTTTTCTCATTGTTCTTAACAATTATTCGGTTTCTTTAGTGAGCAGCCTATATATTTTAAAATTATATTAGTTAAAATAAAACATAATATTAATAAACTTGCATTCGTATTGATATTGTAGGTAAATAATAAATTTATGTATATACTTATATTATAAGGGTATTCAACGATATCGTTTCAAATTTTTGGACATTTGATTGTGATATCGAAATATATCAATACCGTGATAATAAGATTATTGAACATTTTCGTCAGTTAGTTAATAATTATGTTAGTACCACATTATAGGAATGTCTAATTATTGGAATGATACGCATGTCGCAAAATGTCAATAAAAAAATTAAATTAAACATAAAATTCTATTTTAATAAACCCATTTAAATTAATATCGAAAATACCGCGATATTTCAAAACAATATCAAAATAAAATTTTGCAAAAAAAAAAACGACATCATATCAATATTTTATAGTCGATCCCAACTGTATTATGTTAGAATACGTAAACATATTTATTCAATAACGAATCATTTTAAATGATTCATACAATACGATTTTTCATAAAAGTATAATTGTCGGAATAATTTTTTCATTTTAATATTACAGTATACTTCAAAAGCTATAATTTAATATTCGTTGAAATTTATTAAATATTCCGGAACATTATCAAAAATTGAGTATTATAAAATGTAATTGCATTCAAGAAATATCTTTATCAAACACTTCCTGTACATAATTTGTTCTTTGAATTATCATAAAAAACATATCAAAAGAATGTTTTGTTGTCTCTAGTATAGTCTGTTAACATTTCATTAGGATCAGTATGTTAAAAAAAAGTAATGGAATTTTCAAAATGTAGAAAAAATTTTTTTATTTTATTTTACGTTACCCTAATTTTTTACGGTAATGTATTTTTGGGATATTCTTTTAAATGTCTTAAATTGAGGGAATTTTTTTTAATATTCGGTGCTTAAAACTTCAACTAGATTAAAATCGGATTCTTATGATACTTGAACCAAAATAATCAGTTCAGTGAGAGCTGAGGATTTTCATGGACATACATAAAAGTAAAAACACATCATGATAAAACCAATATTTTCTCAGCTTTGTACCAAGATAAAATTACATATAATATACATATGTGTAGATTATATATAAACATATACACTGAGTGAATGTTTATCATAACCCACTCAATTACTTACAGAATAAAAATAATTTAAACATATTTTTTTTGGTTATCTCTAGTTACACATTATTCTTGAATTATTAACTATGCAATACTTTTTAAGTTCATCCCTAATGTCTAGTAAAGGTGTCAAATTTGTTATTTTAAATGGGAACACATATTTTGTATTTAATAAAATTTTCGAATTTTTTATTTAATTTTAATGACATTTGAATTTTTAGAATAACATTATTCGTTTATTAGATATAAACATTTCAAATTTCCAATTTTTGAGTTAATATACATACACATTGTATAATACACAAGGAATTAATAACACAAGTAACTACTTGTGTTTTTATGACGTCGCCGTTATAGTCACAGAATGTTCATTNATAACACAAGTAACTACTTGTGTTTTTATGACGTCGCCGTTATAGTCACAGAATGTTCATTGTCAATTATGACAATCAATAGATATACTTTCACTAACTACCACTAACTGGCAACACAAAAAGTATTGCCAGTATTTATAAACTCACTACCAATGGTAGTGCCTTACTACCAATAAATTCTGGGTACCTGCGAATATCGGCATCATAAAAAACCAATTTGCTACCTGTATTTATAATCCCTTGTGTATTATACATGTGTATTAACTCTAAAATTTGAAACTTTAAATGTTTATATCTAATAAAATAAGTTGACACACTTACAAGGCATAAGAGATGAATTTAGAATGTATTTCACAGTTAATAATTCAATAATAATATGTAACTAAAGGTAACAAAAAAAAAAAAA